GGTGTATATCAGTATGTAGTGTCTCTACTTTAAAGAGTCCTCTCCTGCTGATGTTCAGGTGTATATCAGTATAGGCGCTGTCACACCGCAGTACTTTTCCCACAAAGGTTCATGAGAACTCTTTAGTTCTCATGAACTAAGTACAGATCACGTTCACACCGGACTAAGTCGCTGAGGGAGGATTATGCAAATGAGCCGCTGACGTCACTTCTTCTTCTTCTGCTTTGGGTTTACTGGCAGGCTGCAAACCACTTCACGGCGTATACTGCCACCCGAAGTCCCCGGCCGGAAGTCCTCGGAGTTGGGAACTGGCTTCCGAGTAAATCGCCAGAATGCCGACACCTCCTCATCTCCACCGCTCCCATGTTTTCTTTTGTGTTGCCATAAGTTAGTCTCTCTGCGTTGGTGCGCTGGGCTAATGCTAATAATGCTAATGTGAGGATAATAAAAAACAAAACCTTTTGGGAGTTTTACGGGGCGTGGTTTGCAATCCGCCCAGCCAATCAGACATAGGAACCTTTTTCTCCCACGAAAGTCTCTGCTCTCTCGCAGGGACTGAAAGGGGGTAAAAAGGTTCTGATGAACTCATTTGAATTCCGGCTCTTTTTGGTGTGAACGCGACATTTTGGAACTATATCGGAACTAAAGTTGGAAAAGTACTGCGTGTGAACGTACTATGTACTTCTCTACTTTAAAGAGTCCTCTCTGTCTATCAGTACCCCTTTGTGCATGTCCTCGTTCTGTGTCCAGTCGCTCCTTTGCATTTTAATCTGCCGGTGAATCCAACTTTGGTGTTGCCCCAATCTCCTTCAGCCGGACAGAACTTATCATCTTCTGTTTAAACAAGAACATTTAATAATATTAATCTTTAAATCGACATAATTACTCTAAATATAACTTATTCATACATTTAATAACATTTCTTGCAGTGCACTGCCACAACCTTCTGAAATGTACCAAAGAAATATGAATTCTTAATAACGAATCAATACATTTTAAATATTTCACCGACAGCTCCTGAAATCTACTTAACACAATTATCCAATATCTAAAGTAATTTAGATCAAATTTGAAGTAGTGGACATTGCACTGATTAACAATGTCTTTATTTACTATTTATAGCATCTGTATTCATCTATATATGTCTGCACCTTCAATTTGTTCTGTAAATTAATTGAAAACGATGCGCTTTATTACCATTTGCACTTTCTGGTTGGATGCAAACTGCATTTCGTTGAACTTGAATCTAAATCAAAAGACTTGTAGTATTTTTACATTTCAGAACAACTACTTGAACCCAAATAAAGACCTGAGTACTAGTAGAACCTCAAAAAGACTGTTGTGTCTCGTCAGAATTGTTAGTTCTTTGATCCTTGTTTATTTGTATTAGTATTATTTCTCGGTTAAGTTGATATTGTCAAGTCCGCGTCTGCTAACCCTTTTGTTGTCTGTCATTTCCTGTTTCACTTTGGTCATCTCCTCTCTCATTTCAGGTAGTTCGACTCCTACCCATGTGTGTTTTTCCCTGACCTGATTACCTGCCCCGCCCTTATTGTTTGCGAGCCCCTTGTGTGTGTATTTAATCTGTGTTTTCTCTGTGCCAAGCGTCAGATTGTTCCGAGCCTTAGAGTCGAGCCTTGCTATTCGTGAATTGTCAGCCAGTTGATATCTGTGCTCCAGTAAGTTTAAGTTAGTATTTAGTAAGTCCATGTTTACTATGAGTGTTTGTATTGCCTCGCAAATCACCTAAAGTAAATTCCTTTTTTGAACCTTCCTTTTGTCTGGAGTCGTGCATTCGGGTCTTTTCATTTCATCGTGTGCCCCAGTCGTAACAATGACCATATGTTAAACCTACCGTATATGATGTTGATATTCACTTTCGCTGATCTAGTTTCATTGCAGCGGTTAATAAAGTTGCACGTGACTGTAGGGAGCCCTGATTTTGTACAGGTGACGGTCGCATCGGCTGTAAACGTTTTGATAGTTTCTTCAGAAGGAACCGCTGAAATCACAGGAAGTCAGTTTCAACAAGAATCCATGGAAATTAATGGGAAAAAAAGCCCTTCATTTGTTTTTAAAATGTTTTGCATTTCCATGTTTTAATTTTCATAATATTCCACATTTTGGAAATTACATTTACAGAGGATTCTACATGTGAATTTTTCTATTTTAAAGATCTGATACATTTTTGTGAAATTATGATTTATTTTTCAGAATCTTTGACTTTTTGTCAGAATTTTCTTTCTTTTTTGTCAATTTGAATTTTTTTTCTGAATTTGTTTTTAAATGTTTACGATATTCCAAATTTGGGAAATTACATTTTACAAAAGAAGATTCCAAATGTAAATGTTCTTTTTAAAGATCTGATCATAAATAAAAAAAATTCCCCGAATTTTTAGATTAAAGTAAGAATTTTGACTTTTTTATTTCAGAATTTTGACTTTTTTATTTCAGAATTTTGACTTTTTTATTTCAGAATTTTGACTTTTTTTGTCATAATTTGTACTTAATATAACGATCAGTACTTTATATAAGGATGAGCTTTTGAGGGCACTTTGAGGTCCCCACAATCATCTTTGCAATGTTTTTATTTTATTCTTTGCAATATCCACATTTACATCCTTTTCAATATTTAGAGAATCTTCCCCAAAATCTGCACTTCCATTGAAACGAATGGGAAAAAATGCTAACAATTTTTTTCCCTCAAAGCTTTTTGGCATACTTTACAATTTATTTTAGATTAAAATGTCCAGCATTTCCAACTTTTAATTTTCATAATATTTAACATTTTATACATGCTTTTTTATAACTGACCAAGAGTAAGGATTTAGATTTTGTTTTGGCTGAATTTTGACTATCTTTTCGATATTTGGATATGTTTTGCACTTCCATTGAAATGAATGGGAAGAAGATGATGGAGTTACCATTGAAGAGGTGTTCGTGGGCCCACGTCACCGTGTAGTTTTCCGTGTTTTTCTCGATCTCACATATCACTTTCACGCTCAGAGCTTCATCCGGCGAATCACATTTCGGGAACCCCGGCTCGGTTCTGATGAGGATGTCTGGCAGGAGGGCGAGGTCCATCAGAGCGCTGGCTTGGTGGGAAATGGTGAGGTCGTTCTTCTTCTGATGATAGGCACATGAATAGACGCCTAAAAAAAAAAATACATATATAATTGTTTTTTTTTTTTAAATGAGTGTTTTTAAATGCCATTTTATAATATGTTTCTTAATGCTCTTAATGTCTTTCATTTTTGTGAAGCGCTTTGAATTGAAACTTGCCTTGCAATATGTAAATAAAGTAAAAACGAACCTTCCCAGAGTTCAGAGATTTTGAGGAGTTTGACGGTGGTTTCTTTCGGTTCAGTAGACACTAAGGCCTCGGTGCCGTTAAAAATCTCCGTCACCCTCCGGTCTCGGCTCAGCTGCCAGACCGGCAGTGTGCCCAGGGGCTCCTGTAACTCACAGCTAAGAACGGGCTTCGCTGAGAAACACACCGGGCTGGCAGGCATGGTTAACTTGATGACACCTGCAGAAAAACAATGATCACAAACTACTCAAACTGTTTTGGGAGATTTAAAAAAATAAATGTTTTGCATTTTTTGTTTTTACGATATTCCACTGTTTTTTCTAGAAATAATTAATCAATTTTATTTTCTGAAGATCTCAGCCTTTTTCCTTTTTTCAGCCTTTTTTCCTAAAGAAGATAAAAAAAATCTCTAAATCTGAAACGGTCCAAATTCAGACTTTTTTCGCTAAATCTAGATTTTATCTCACAAGTTTTACTTTTGTTAGGAAGACTATTTTTATCAGAATTTAGATTTGATGTCAGAATTTCTACATTTTTAGAATTAGCAACATTTTGAACCTTTTCAGGATTTTGACTTTTACCTCAGATTTTTCTTGTCGATGCGTCAAGTCTTTTTTGTAATCTTTAAATATAATTTTTTTTATTTGTGCAATTTCCACATTTAGATTTGTTAGCAATATTTAAAATGTAAGAATAAAATTTCCCTCAAAGCTTTTTGACCTATTTCACATTTTTAGCTTTTCCTTTTGACATTTAATTGAATTGTCTTTTTTCAATTGAAATAATTTCCGATTTTTTTTTAATTGTATGCGTCTCGACTCAGACCTTGTAAAAAAAATATTTCACAACTTCTCTAAATATTTGCATTTAGACTTTTTTGCAATATTAAAAAAAAGATTCCACTTACAGTCAAAGCTGTTTGCCCTATTTCACATTATTCAATATTCCGGCTTCAAAATGCTGAAAAACTACTGGCCTGATCTTCATGAAACTTGGTGGAAGTGTGACGCATAGGGGGAGGAATACATCCTTACATTTTGGATGTGAGATTTCCCACTGGCTGAACAGGTACCTGAACTCTCCAGATCCAGAGATGCATTCACAGTTCTGGTCAGTTGATCTGATTTGTCGACCAAGTCTTTTTGTCCGATTTTTTGAGCAACGGTCAACGCAAACTCAACGATGACGCTCCCAACCCTTCAGTGAAGAAAACGTAAGATGTCAGTCTCATATTAAATACAAAAACAACAAAACACTATTTGATAATTTTATAGAATTCAGACTTTTTCCTCAGAATTTTGAATTTTTTCTCAGATTTTTGCCTTTAGATGTATCTGTGGGGACTTCTGAAGCAAATAGAAACAAGACTCAGAGAGACACGAGGAGAGCTGGAGCTTTGATGGAGTCAGGACTCAGAGAGACACGAGGAGAGCTGGAGCTCTGATGGAGTCAGGACTCAGAGACACGAGGAGAGCTGGAGCTCTGATGGAGTCAGGACTCAGAGAGACACGAGGAGAGCTGGAGCTCTGATGGAGTCAGGACTCAGAGAGACACGAGGAGAGCTGGAGCTCTGATGGAGTCAGGACTCAGAGACACGAGGAGAGCTGGAGCTCTGATGGAGTCAGGACTCAGAGAGACACGAGGAGAGCTGGAGCTCTGATGGAGTCAGGACTCAGAGAGACACGAGGAGAGCTGGAGCTCTGATGGAGTCAG